ATGAAATTGCTTCCTGTTCATCTGCCCTCAAGACTGGTCTTAATGAAACCTTATACAGTTCATTAGCTGTCTGTAAAGGGTATTATTTCATCATCCTTGACTCATGTGAATACAGTGAGGATCAGATTTATTCTTCAAAACAGGTTGTCCTCTTCGCTCATCCCTCTGTTTTCACCCAGACACGTGGCCTTGTTGCATCCAGACTCAAGATGGCCAGTGTTCTCTCCTTCTCTCACTATGAATTGGCCTCAGTCTGGTGATGAGGAGGGGGTTGGGCGGACAACTGTGTCCTGACTGTTGTCATATTGGTCATTTTGTGAAACAGAGGATGATGTTGCAGTATGCAAGCTGCAATGTTGCGTTTAAAAAAGAGCTGTGTTGGGTCATTCCAGACCGGTTTTATTTTTTATTTAAATTTTCTGTTCAATTATAACGAATGGGGACTGGAGCTTTCAAGCTTCAAAAAGGATTAAAAAGTTGTCTAAAATACCGTTCAAAAGATTGGGGTCAAAATGCTCATAACGGCTGCATTTATTTGACCAAAAATACAGCAATAATGTACAATATTATTACAATTCATGTATATTTTAAAATGTCATTCAAATTACATTTATTGAATAGAAAGTTCAAAAGAGCAGTGTTTATTTGAAATAGAAATCTTTTGTAGGCTACCATATATGTCTTTACTGTCACTTTTGAAGAATTTACTGCGTCCTTGCTGAATAAAAGTGTTAATCTCAATGCATTCTTATTGAATAAAAGCTCTAATCATTGAGACTCGATTTGTGAACTGGATCACGCAATTCATTGAAAAGATTTTATTCAACTTGCCACTGCTTTCATAAATTCTTGGGCAAATGTCAAGATTTTCAGTGAACAGTGGTCTGTTCCTTACATAAAGCTATCGCATGACTTCAGATGAAAAACTTGAAATGTAGTGCACGTTTTGGAGCATTTTGACAACTTCATTCCTCATTCACCTTCATTATATAGAAATAAAGGCTAGAATATAAAAAAAAATCACCTTATGTGTTTCAAAGAAAGCCATATGTGTCTGGAATGACATAAAGGTGAGTAAAGATGACACAATTCTTGTTTTTGGGTGAACTCTTCTTCCTTTAAATCACTTAAAAGTGCCCTGAAGCAGACTGAGGTTCCTGTCACAGCGAGTGCAATGTAACGACAGACGACATGCACCCCGTGTCCAGTAGAGAGCCAGAATGCGACATATGTCGAATGTGTCATTCTCCTCTAACATGGCCAGAGAGAAGCTGTGAAACCGTTGGTGCTTTATAAGCTATAATAGGATCTTGATTGACACCTATGGAAACTGTATTATTCTCACCACCACCTCCTGCAAATATTTCGTCATTTTAGGCTATACAGAATGCAGACGATTTCCATTATGGGTTACAAATGCTGCAATGTTCTTTTTTTAGAGCGAGCTCCTTCCTCTGCTGGAGATGAGTTATTATCAAAGCTTCTGTCAGCAGAAAAACTTATAATAACAGAGCATCCACAAAATTCCTTATTGCATTACTCCTGCTCCAGTGCAATTATTTATTCAAGAGCTGCCGCTGGCGTTCGCATGAGAATCTTTTACCGGATGCGTTCTCAGCAGCAATCCAGCTGTGCTTTTACACAAAATCCAGCCCTCTCTGTGACCCCTGGGGAGGAAAGTCTTTGCTGTAACTATAAAGTAACTATATGCCAGATATCTATAGGCAGGTTCAGTATGGTATTTGTCACTTTTTTTTCCTATTCTGACCTTTGACAGCCAGATACTGCGTATTTATGGTCACAGATACACGGGGTCTTATTTGATGAAGGGTCTAGAAAGAGGTAGTTCTTAAACATGATCTGGATCTTAAAGATTCTTATAGTGATTCTGGCAAAGAATCCACCAATGTCTTGCACAAAGTGTATTGCCAAGGACCACAGTTGCTCACCTCGGTCTGAGACTACAGCCTTTCCAAACACATTCCCCCATTAAATGGCTTTTCCAGTACCTTATTTTATATGGCATGAAACACACAATCCTAACATTCCATGCAAATAACTTTTCAGTCTAACATTTCAGTGAGAATGGGTCCTGTATTTCATAATATTACTGGTGCTTGATTTAGGTATTTTATTTAGAGGGTTATATATTTGAATGGTCGATGATGGACAATGAAATGGGAACCAAAATCCCATGGACAAATATTGTAGAGACTTTGGGATGGGTACTTTGGACTTGGGCTAGTAAGCAACCACCAAAAAGCAGCACAAACATGACTTTTAAAATCTGAATAGATTTGATAATACACAGTGGAAAAACTGGGCATCATACACTAAATGACCGAGGATCACACACTAACAGATTTTCAAGTCATTACAACAGAACAAACTCATGTCTTGTTGCTTTTAGACTGTGTTCTATAATCGGCTCAAAATACCAAACATGATTGATATCCTCCGACTGGATGGAATCAAACTTTGAAGCTAAAAACCATCATCCATCACGATTTTCTGTAAATTCTGTCTTCTTTCGGCAACTAGTGTTAAGACTGTAAATCGGGGGGAAATCTGGGCAACAGTAATATAGAGCATTCCAGCCTTTAGCAACCACATAACAACATGCTAAAAACCACTCAGAACACTTTAGCAAGTGCATAGCAACATTATGACAATCACATTACAGAACAACCCGATCACACTAAATGCGTCTCTATAGCACGCAGTGTGTTTATCGTGTAATTTATACGCGAAAATGAGTTTTTACGTGCATAGGATACGCATGGATTGGTTAGGGTAGGTTTAGTAGTGGTGTGGGGTGCGTGTGTATTATACGTTTGGGTAGAATTAGTGGTGTGGGGTGCGTGTGTATTACACGCAAATGAACTGCGTATCAAATGCACGCGAAAACTGCGTATCATATGCACGTAAAAACTCATTTTCGCGTATAAATTGCACGATAATACACAATGCGTGCTATAGAGACGCATTTGCGTGAGAACAGGCTGGGCAGTAACATCAAACTCTCGTTTTATGGTTCCCATGTATCTTCATCTGGATGTTATACTCCCTGATATGGCATTAAATACATTCATTAGAGCAAATCATTGCAAACTATCTTCAGATCATGGTTGCTATAGTTACTCTGGAGCACGTTTATGAGGATCAAGAAAAGGTTCTTGGTGGATGTTCTTCATGTTCTCGCATGCATTTTAGCCGATGTTTGATATGTGCTCATGCTGTGAGACTCTTAGTACTCATGCTGTGAGACTCATAAGTGCCCAATGATCCATAGACTCCAATAGACTCTGAATGCAGATCATTGCATACAAGAGTCACTTCGTCTTGCTAGTTTTTTTTTTTTTTTTCATAATATGATGCTTTATGTAACAGATTGTGATTTATGGTCAGTCATTTGTACGTTTGACTATCTGATCATTCAGGATTGCACATGTCAAGATGTTCTCCACAATGTGTTCCCTATAGTGAAAAAAAAACCTATACCAAAATGTAGTTAAAAATATATATTAGTATATTTATTTTTCAGTTGGGTTGTCTGGTACTACAGTATATGCAGAGCTCCCTTCCTGAATGTAATCGTATTCTCTCTCTGTTTCCCTGCAGGCAACAATCACCGGAGCCAAACAAATCTTCAGGTAGGACCCGTTTGTCTTTTTTTTTTGGTACTGAGAACTGTGCAAGGCTTGGTTTGTTTTTACAGCTTTTTGGGAAATGTTTTTTTTTTTCTCTCCAAATGTATTTACATAGGCCATGCGAGGTTTTTATGGTAGTTATATTTTTTAAAAGATATGTTACGAATGTTGTCTTAGGATATCCTCTTTTTTTTATCTCACACAGACACACACAGAAGGCCCAGAGCAAGTATTTGATTATTTCTTAAATAAATAAGAGATAATTAATTCTAAAACAATCAAATAATAAATAACATTTATTATTATTATTATTATTATTATTATCATCACCAGGAATATAGATCAAGGTTTCCCAAACTGGGGTTCGCAGTTTGTGCATTGAGGAAAAGCTAATAATGAATGAAATAAAAAAATTAGTTTAAGAATCAGTTACTATGTAAATGCCTACGCTTCAGTTACATTTGCATATTTTCTCGAGTTGCACAATTGGCTTTTTCATCTCACACAAACCTACAGTACTTCTTCTGGTATGCATTAACTATTCATTTTACGAGTAGGACGATTGTATTTGCATTTTTTTTTTAAAGCCAAAAGACTGAATAATTCCAACATTAAAAACTTTGCATCTGTTCAGAATGAATGCCAACTTTATGCTCTTCGTGAATTTGGGTGGCTTTCCATTCTTCTGTTTCTTATCGGAGAGTTTGAGCGAGTAGAGAGGAAAGACTCACCCCTCGGAGAGCCAGCTGAGCTGTCCATCTCCTCTCACACAAAAGATCAGAAGCGCTGCCCGGGCCTCAGTCTCCGCTGGGATGCCAGCCATTTGATTGTTATCTGTCTATTCAGCTTGTGGAGGTGGGGCCCACCATCACACATCATCCTGGACCAGGGCTCTGTTTAATCTGGCTTTGCTTTTTGGACTGCTGTCAATTAAAACTAGCCTACATGTTTAGGTTACTGAGTGAAAAGTCCAAGAGCCGTTTGTTCTGAAGGAGCCGAGTTCACTGCAGTACGTACCGCATGACAGGATTGTGCATCTGCACTAGTCTGCCCCCTTGTGGATGTTGATTCGCAAAGCTCTTGTAGACAAAGAATTCTACCTCAGTGAGGGATGATGGCAAGTTTCTTCCATGACGTCATTTGAATCTGAGATTATCTATCAAGTTATTTCACTTACATATATCAACAATCGGACTCAGGATCTGGAGCAAAAATGTTTCTGATTTATAATAAGGTTTCAGATTTTCTGGCCTGGTGATTCTATCAAGTGCAAAGGTCTTTTGGTAAACCTTGAAACTGTTTTTTATTCTTCTCTCCTCCCCCATTCTTTCATCTATTTTTTGTGTCCAGCCTCTGCAGTGAGGTGCATTTGGTCGATGAAGGCGACTCATCATTGTGATGTATAATGGCTCCTGCTCTGAGTGCTATGTTGGGGTCACGGGCCGTGGGGTCAGAGGTCGCGGGGGCGGCGTGGCTGGCTAAAGGGGAGCTGGCACTTGTAGGCACACTCACGGGACTCACGGCTTTCCTGCTGCTCTCTGTCCTCCTGCTGCTGTGTGCGAGCTGCCAGGGGTGAGTAACATTCTTTGAAACGTCTCAAAAAATTTTATTGTATAAACATGTTTTTTTCATGAATATTGTATTGTTGTTCCGAACCTATAGACCATTTGGGAGCTAATGTCACAGTTACGTCCAGAGCCGTCGCTAGCAGGTAGAAAGGTGGTGACGATTCTAGGGGCCCCCAGCTTTAAGGGGCCCCACACAACCTACACAGGGGCCCCGGATACCCCAGCTACGGCCCTGGTTACGTCACTGCAGTTGCGCGCACATTGCGGTGGCATAAAAACTGTGGTAAAAAGTGGAGGAAAACGGGGAGATCCACGGAATAAGAGAATAAATGACCTGTTGTGCCTTAGGTTGTCAGAATCGGAATTCAAAAAAGATGGTCTTCATTTTCACAGAATACCGTTGTCGAAGACGCCCTTGGAAGCTTAACGCAGACGTTTATGGTTGCAAGCCATTAAATGAATAGACTGGACTGATGAAATCTGCAATGATTACCCTACTATAGCATGAATTTGATGTAAACAATAGATCTACATAATATTCAAATGTGCAGTTAATAGGGAGCATAATCTATTACAGTTAAATAATATTTAAACCTATAACATTTTAAATAGATACAATTTAAACCTAAAACATTTTTATCTCATAATTCTCAATTCGGACTTAATAATTGTGAGTTTATATCACAATTCTGAAAAAAAAAAATCAGAATTGCAGGACATAAACTCAATATTCTGAGAGGTAAAAAGGCAGAATATCGAGTTTAAATTTATCAATTCAGATTTTTCTTGAAATAACCTTTATTTATTCTTTTATTCAATGGCTTCCATGTTTTCAGTTGCTAACATGAGTCATGCGCTCATCTCCATTGAACACATTTGAACTAATCTGACCATAAATTCATTCTGCAGGATTCCACTGATTCTGTTCCGAAAATCAGCATGAAAAAATGTTAACAAAAAGTTAATTTGGACCTGCAAATGAGTTGTGCAAAAATATGCAAATGAACTCTTATTTTACACAATATTTACTGAAAATTCACTAAATCATTTGAAAACAAAAGGTGCACTCTGAATACAAACTGTTACTATTAAAAAGGTAATAAAATTAGTAATAATTAAAAAATATAAAATTGTATATATACTGTATATATATATATATATATATATATATATATATGTATATATATATATATATATATATATATATATATATATATATATATATATATATATATATATATATATATGTGTATATATGTGTGTGTGTGTGTTATAATTATTATAATATATACATTATAAAATATTAATAAAAATATTTTTGGATGTTTGGATTTTAAGTATTATCTCAAAAAAGTAAAATAAAATAGTGAATTAAATATTGGTCTGTCACTAATATTTATTAGCCTTATATGTCATGGATTTACATTAAATCCATGCATTTCTTGACAAGATCAGTCTAAACGATAATAATATTTATTATTAATAAATATTTTAATATAATAGTAAGATGTAAAATGTATCAATATTTTCCTATTAAATATTTGTTCTATTTTATTTGAACATATAACCAGTCCAGCAGTAAACTCCCAGTGATGGTTTCCCTTGCAACAGATGAAGCTTAATCCTTGATTCGGTACTATATTAAATGTGATTTTAAATGCTTTGTTGTCTAGAACAAGGCTTAGTTTGCATCTTGGAATACGACGTTGAATGATTCAGAGTACACGGCCAAATCTACAGACTTAATCAACGTTTCTCAGTAATGCTCTCCCTCTGACTCCACAGGCAGAAAAAAGGGGGGCCGCCAGGAGACCATGAAAACCTGATGAATGGGGTAAGCATGTGCTGCCATGATGCTTTTCATCTAAGAGATTTTAGCCTGTGCTGCCTCACTGCGGCTCAAACAGAGCCATACAATGTCCCTGTTTTTAATTTCAAAAGGAGTTTTCAATTACACAGAGTCCCGAGATTACGTGAACCGTCTTTAGAGTGTTTAAGTCGTGAGAATGTGTGACCGCTGTGCTTGAGGGCCTGGTAAAGTCGGGAGAACGGAGAGGAGAATGGACGGTCATTGTGAGGCCCGGGTTTGGTGGGAGGAAAGCATGAAGCAGACAGATTAACATTTTTGTTTGACCGCAGGGAGATGAGAAACTTCATGCATGAGTCGCCTTTATCTCTGGCTCTGCTGCGTCTGACTGGGTGTCTTGTGTGAAATTATCATCTGAGGAAAGAGTTCAAGAGTTCAGGAGATGTTTAGCAATCAGGAGATTAGCGTGACCTACTGAGGGCATAATTGACTGCTAAAACACACACACACACACACACATGCATTTACACATAAACAGCTGTATAGGCAGGGTCTGTGGGATTGTGTTATGCTTGAATTGTTCATTGTAACTGTTATTAAATGAGAGGGGCAAGCATGTGTTCATGGCTTGTTGACTGACGTGAAGGCTTCTGAAGCACATACATTCAATGGCCACTTCACAGCCAGATGTTGATTTTATGTTTAGTATAATATTCATCAGGTTGTGTTTACCTCAACTTTATCATTAATTGCTACATGTGCATGCTGTGCACTGGAATAACAGAACCAGCTGTAAAAATGTATAAACTCTTTGCCTTTATGCAAATGATTAATGACAGCCTTTGGTTATGCGCACAGTAAAACAGAAACTACTGTACTGAGTAAAAAACTACTGTTTTTTACTCATTTTGGATTTCACAAGTGCAATTGGATGATTTGAAAATTATGTTCTGAACCCTGCTGTTATGTGCATATTTCATCAATGTTTTTGTGTGGGATCAAAAAGCCCCCAGACATCACCGATTGGGTAAAAATGTGTACAGGCTCTGTAAAACTCTGTAACAAGATGTGCATGTTTATGAATTCTTCTAATAAATGCAATTAGCATATTTTTCAGAGATGCCGAAGTTGCTTTGGGGTCTATTTGACCCAAGACATTACAGAAGGAATAACAACACGTTTTACTACTTAGTCAGTTTAATTGTTGTTGACTCTGACAAGAACTTGAACAAATCATTTGGGCACTGGGTTGTAGTTGTGAAAAAGAGGTGGGCGAACTATAAAACTCAATGGGCATCCTGCCACGCATTGGAAAAGAGATAAACCACCACTTGCTGCAACCAAAGCATGTTGTCTTTTAGATACTTTATATGTCAAATAGCTGAGTGCAAACAATTTTACTGCCTCAAACAGAAATTGCAAAAGAAATTACATTTTTGTTTTGATCAAGACAGTTAAATAAAGTTTAAGTTTTACAAATGTTCCAAGGATTAGAAATGGTAAATATTAACTGCCATTTGAAAGTTTGGGGTCAGTTTTTTTTAAAGATGAATTATTACTTTTATTTAGCAAGGGTACATTTAATTGATCAAAAGTGACGGTAAAAACTTTTACATCGTTAAAATTCAGCTTTTCCATCACAGGAATAAATTACACACTCAAAAAAAGATTTATGCATTTCAATTAACAGTAAAATTCCATCAAATTGAATTGAATTGAACAATCCTTACATATTATTCATATTAAGAATTTTAAATGAGTAACATTTTGTATAAATCTTAATGGAACAAGGGAATGGACCATTTCATTTATGTGATTCGTATTCATAAAATTGAAAAAATAATAATAATATATATATATATATATGAATATATGTTTAAATTTAAGTTTAAGATTCACACAAAATGTTTTATTAAGCTCTAGTTTTTTACTCAATTTTTAATTAATAATATGAATCATATGTAAGGATTGGTGGAATTTGACTATTAATTGAAATTCGTAAATCTTGAAAAAAGATTTTTTTAAATATATTCAAATATAAAAGGTTATTTTAAATTGTAATAATATTTCACAGTATTACTGTTTTTACTGTTTTTTTTTATCAGTTACATGCATCCCTGGTGAGCAAAAGAGACAGCTCTAAAGAACAAAAAAAAATCTTACCGACCCTTAACCTTTAATCAGACAAATGCCATTGAATTAATTGTAATTCATTTATTTTAAGTTAAATGTGAGCAGTTCAGTTTAATCAACTGTAAAAACTACATTTTTAATAAACATTCCACCTAGTTCACATATAGTTGAAATGATATTTTACGCTCAAGAGGAGCTACGGGTGGTCAAATATGGGTGTCGTCAAAAAATAACTCTTTTTTTTTTTTTTTTTATAAAAAAAGTGAACTGCTTTGGCATCAACAAATGGGGTTGTGACCTCAAGGTTGAGATCCTTTGTATAATATAAAGTGAGTATTAACGTTTATGAAATGCTTAAGCAATTGCCTGACATTATCTCTCTGTTAACACTGTAAACCTCTTTAGTTTTGATGGATATCCGAAGGCTAACCTTTGCATGATATTGTACATCTTGCCTGTCGATATATTGAGGAAGGCTTCATTTAAATGGCGGTGTCTGTCACAGCCTGACAGGTTAAATGGGGTCTTTGTCTTGCTGTGACAATCTGAGTGGCTCTCAGCTTTAACCTTCTGTATCTTCTGAAGGACTTCATTGCCCTGGCAACAGGCATTTTCAATGGGCTGCCACTAGGTGGTCCCACAGTGCTACTGCATGGTGTTTTTGCTATTGGTTAAAAGATGAAAACAAAGAGCTCAATCCAAGTGTCTTTGTCTCTAGTCTCTTTATAGCAGGGGTTTTCAAATTTTTTTTGGTCCATGACCCAATTTTACTATTTAAATCCTTGCACCCCTACCAGTTTCACAGAGTTAAGCTATGTACGTTAGCGTATCATACGCAACGAATTATGTTACACGGATATAACACATTTTACATTCAGGCAACAGCTTTAGAATTGATTCTGTGACTATAACAAATAATTCAAATCTGAACCCATGTGCATCTGTGACAACCCTGATTTTGCATGCTGTCTGAATAGTGATTGCATCAATGAATACTGTTTAGTTCACAAATAGTGCATAGTAACTTTTCTATCCCGTTTCTCTGCAGGTGTCAGAAAAGGAAACATGTAGTCAGTCAATAGAAAGTCATGGAACTGACTTGGCAGTCAGCAGCTCCCATAATGGGCCTCTTACAAGTGGTACAGGTAACAGTTCTCAATGATCGTCTCACGGTTCCTAGACATTTTACATTTCCAGAGTCAAATTTCCAGACCTCCTTCCAAACGATTCTTAGACCATATTTAACTTAAATGGTTCACACAGCATTATTTTCGGTATATAGAACAGCCATCTGTAAATATTTCTATTTTCTCAGTTTTTCATTGTTTTCTCAAAGTGATAACATGCACTTGCATGATGAGAAAAAACCTAAAAAGCTTTATAACCTGCATATATGTACCTCCGACACATGACTTTGATACTGTAAATGTGGTTTGATGTTGCACGATCACCAAACAGCAAAGTCTGATTTACAGTAGATGATTGTTTGCTTCAATCTTGGGACACGCACATGGGACACGCACATTCGTTTAGTGAAGTTCAAAAGATACTTGCTTATGGCAAATAATTCATTCACTCAGTCAGTCATATTCGACAATAAAACAATTACTAAACCTTTAACATGAAAACACTCTACTTGTAGGGTTGTGTATTGACAAATTTCACAATTTGATTTACACTCACCTAAAGGATTATTAGGAACACCATACTAATACTGTGTTTGACCCCCTTTCGCCTTCAGAACTGCCTTAATTCTACGTGGCATTGATTCAACAAGGTGCTGAAAGCATTCTTTAGAAATGTTGGCCCATATTGATAGGATAGCATCTTGCAGTTGATGGAGATTTGTGGGATGCACATCCAGGGCACGAAGCTCTCGTTCCACCACATCCCAAAGATGCTCTATTGGGTTGAGATCTGGTGACTGTGGGGGCCATTTTAGTACAGTGAACTCATTGTCATGTTCAAAAAACCAATTTGAAATGATTCGAGTTTTGTGACATGGTGCATTATCCTGCTGGAAGTAGCCATCCGAGGATGGGTACATGGTGGCCATAAAGGGATGGACATGGTCAGAAACAATGCTCAGGTAGGCCGTGGCATTTAAACGATGCCCAATTGGCACTAAGGGGCCTAAAGTGTGCCAAGAAAACATGCCCCACACCATTACACCACCACCACCAGCCTGCACAGTGGTAACAAGGCATGATGGATCCATGTTCTCATTCTGTTTACGCCAAATTCTGACTCTACCATCTGAATGTCTCAACAGAAATCGAGACTCATCAGACCAGGCAACATTTTTCCAGTCTTCAACTGTCCAATTTTGGTGAGCTCTTGCCAATTGTAGCCTCTTTTTCCTATTTGTAGTGGAGATGAGTGGTACCCGGTGGGGTCTTCTGCTGTTGTAGCCCATCCGCCTCAAGGTTGTACGTGTTGTGGCTTTACAAATGCTTTGCTGCATACCTCGGTTGTAACGAGTGGTTATTTCAGTCAAAGTTGCTCTTCTATCAGCTTGAATCAGTCGGCCCATTCTCCTCTGACCTCTAGCATCAACAAGGCATTTTCGCCCACAGGACTGCCGCATACTGGATGTTTTTTCCTTTTCACACCATTCTTTGTAAACCCTAGAAATGGTTGTGTGTGAAAATCCCAGTAACTTAGCAGATTGTGAAATACTCAGACCGGCCCGTCTGGCACCAACAACCATACCACGCTCAAAATTGCTTAAATCACCTTTCTTTACCATTCTGACATTCAGTTTGGAGTTCAGGAGATTGTCTTGACCAGGACCACACCACTAAATGCATTGAAGCAACTGCCATGTGATTGGTTGATTAGATAATTGCATTAATGAGAAATTGAACAGGTGTTCCTAATAATCCTTTAGGTGAGTGTAGATTCTCATGCATGTGATTCAATTCAACTCCAATTTCGATCAAGTTCCATTCGAAATAGATTTATTGCGCTATGTATCAGGTACAGTACATGGCAAATTTTCAAGGAAAAAAAAAAGGCAACTAATTCTGTATACTATACAGGGAACCCCAGTACATTACTATAATATTACTCGCCAAGACCAGCATTTTGACATTATTTTGTGTGTATTTGACTTTTTAAGCACAAAGAGCAGCGATAAAGAACTCAGTTTAGTACTGAGAGGCGGCTTTATGTGTATTTTGGGTGTGAGCATAAAATCTGAGGGAATGAGTTAAATTATGTGCAATACACGCAATCCCACGCCGAAATTCCAGCTCTGTAACAGCAACAATATTCATCCGGAGCAAATGAAGCGAGTAAGTGAAGGAAGGCGGGTTTGTGTGTAACTCGCCGTCGGAGAGATGAGAGAGAGAGAAAGAAAGAAAGAGCAGCTGGTATCCTGTATCTATTCTGTGGGAAACAGATACAGTGTTGGAAGCAGATTTATTACAGATATACAGATTTATTCAAACATACATTAAATATTAAAGAACATGTTAAGTAAAAACAATAAATATGCAATATAGTGCATATATTTAGCAAAATGCTCCTCTAGAGTTAATTTTTCTAACTGCCTATCAAGTTTATGGTCATTGAATGGCTTTTCTGAGGTAAATATAACATTACGTGGCATATTATTTACAACAGGGGTGCCCAATCCCATTCCAGGAGATCTACCTACATAAAAAAAAATCTTAATTAGCTGCTTTAGTTGTGTTTGATCAGGATTGAAGCTGAACTTTGCAGGAAAGTAGATCTCCAGGAACCGGATTGGGCACCCCTGGTTCACAAGCTGTTTTATCCGTACATTTCCAGACCTGGGAATTACTCAAATAAAATTCCATACTTTTCCAAACTGCGTAGGAATCCTGTGTAACAGATATTCACACTCTTTCCCCTTACCTTTTTCCTCAGTACTCACGGACACAATGGACACAAGTCCCCAGCCTTCAGAAGACATGCTGTCCAGCCAATCAGAGCTCAGATCCTCTAAGTATCACCAGGATCGTGAATTACCCAGCATTCCACCCACCGATAACCTCAAAGCAGCTGTGGTCGATGCTCAAGTTGCCTCAGGAGAGGACACATACGAGGTGGTGAAGGACTGCGCCTCCCGTGATGTCAGTGTCGAGGACTGTCTGTACGAGACGGTGAAAGAGCTCAAGGACATTGGCCTACCCAACGGTACACTAAGCCCAGAGGAACCGCCTGCGCCTCTTCTCAACGGCCACCCAAGCCCTGCTACACCAGACCACACCATGCTGCCCAATGGCGTCGAGTACGCCTCCGTCAACCTCAGCAAGAAGAGCCGCTACAGCACTGACCTGGAGGCCAGGCGCTCTGCCACCATTGTGGCGTACGCAGATCCTGAGGAAGAAAAACCTCCTCCCATACCAAATAAAGTGCTGGATGAGAATGACAACCAGCAGATTCCAAATGGACAGGTGGGGCTACCAAACTGTTTGTCTTATAAAAGTACCATTGTTGTCCTGTAGAGTTCATTTTAACAAAAAAGTACCGTTATTGAAACTCTGTACTACCAATACTTCAAGAATATTATTATAACATTTTTTACATTTTAGTATCAACCAAGCGGCAACCTTCCGGTCTCTCTCTTGAAGACTAACACGGAAGTGACTTAAGGCTCGTACACACCGGGACGCAATATTTTTTTTCACAGGATGGTAGGGGAAGACTCATGAATATTCATTAGGGAACTCATCCCCGATTGGTCTGATGACCTACCCCCTATGCCCGCCCCTAAACCTACCCGTCACTGGGGGTCTGATGACCCACCCCTAACCCCGCCCCTAAACCTACCAGTCACTGGGGTTAAGACCAATCAGGGATGAGTTCCCTAATGAATATTCATGAGTCTTCCCCTACCATCCTGTGAAAAAAAATATCGCCACCGGGACGAATATCGGCACGCGTTATTCGTCAGCGTTTTTCAACGCGTTTTTGTGTTCACACCCAAGCGATTTTCGCTGACGTTGAGCCGAGTGAACATGCAAATTCATTCCCTGACATTAGATGGCGCTTAATGTAAAACAGAAATAGTCCTATTTTGTAGTCGCTGTCGCGTTTGTCATATAGGTCTTTATGTTCCGACACCAACAAGACCAGCAGCTCTACATTCATCTTGCCTTGCATCTTCCTCGTCTTATTTCTTCCTGGCAGTGTAGACTATAACGTTAGATATCCATAATTAAGGCCATTGGCCAGCAGCACGGACGAGACATCTAGCCTTTATTATGGATATCCATGGTGTGTAACTTAGACGCTACTTGGCGCATCTTCTTCGCCGTTACGTTTGTGTGCTCGGCAAGACCGTTTTGTGTTTGAGCGCCCCCAAGTTGTGTTTTACTGTAACTTCAGAAGCTCCAGACACGTGAGCAAAAGCGGCAATCTCATTGGTCGGATAGTTTTTGACGCGGCGCGTCAAACCAAAAAAACGAACCCGAGGCGTTTTTAAAAAATGACGCTTTTACGCGTGGCGTTTTTCGCGTCGGTGTGCACACTCACATAGGCGCCCTTTGTTTAGTCACTAGGCGTTAAACGTCGGCGAATAACGCGCGCAAAATTCGTCCCGGTGTGAACAGGCCTTTAAACAGCAATTCATCGACTGGCCGCTAGAGACAGGCTCCAAAAGAGAGCCAATCCCATAGAACCCCATGTCAATATGCCCAACACTACAGCAGAAAGAATGTTTACAGCCTGGTAGAAAAAGTGGTTTTGGTCTATATAGCTAATTTTGCCCTTCATGACAGCTGTTGAGGGGGTGAATTTTTTTATAACTCATCCGTTTAAATTAGATTAAGCCTTAAAGTTCTGCATAATTAAGGGCGTGGCCACTTGAGTGACAGGTGGATTGCCGCTGCTGTAGCTACTAGTCGGTTGCCTGATGTCTGTTAGCCGTCACGTCAAGTCAGCTAATCTTTGCCCATTTTCGGTTATCAAGGAGTGACGAGCGATGACGTGTTGCCAAGATGGCGACGGCCAGCTCCGTCCACTTTGGGCTTTAAACAATAAGGGTTGACGCTAAGAACAAATGGCCTTCCAGGAGCATGATTGGACACTCCTGGCGTAGCATGTAAAACTCATGTTAAATGAATGTGGAAATCATTCAGTACCATGATACATTTTACAGTACCATAGTATCATGGGATTACCATGGTAACCACCACAGTACTGTTAAAAGTTTCACTAAGGTCTTAAATACTGAGCATCAGTTGCTCTCCTGCAATAATCACTTCCTTTAGCAGGAGCTTTTCTTTCTCACTCAGGAATGATGCGACCCTTCACACGTATAACAAAGTATAACATGAGAACAAAGAAGAATATTCTCAGAAACAGACCAAAAAGGACTGCACTAACATCCTCTAGTGCAAGCTAAACTTAAGAGACCACAAGGGAACAATAGAGAACAGTGTGTTTCCAGTTTAATTACAATCTTTTAGGATATGTGCTCTGGTTGACGGTGATATGCGTACATGCGCCTGTAGCATACAAATGAAGCCATCTGTAGAGGCGAGCAGAGAGGCTGCTGTTGTGCCCGCAGTCAATGTCTGCACACGGCGTAAGCATCCACTACAGCCACACGCTACTGTCGCCAGTCGAGGACGCTCCGCACCTCTTTTGTTTATCACTCCCGCATGCCCTCTCGCTCTGTCAGTCTCTCTCTTTTGCTCTTTCTCTCTCCTTTTGTTGTTCTCATTTCATGTTTTTTTTTTTTTGCCCTGTATTTCTGCTTCCTTTGTACTTGTACAATATCAATTGTATGTCTTTTCCAACAAAAATGGTGCTAGTTGGTGGTTCTCATGAGCTAATGGTGCTCATGCTCGGCCAGAGATCTGGAAAACTCCAACCCAAACTGACCCACGCTTCCACTGACTTGAGCTGAGCTACATTATGACTTCTTTGTTTACAGTATGTATGCATTATGAGTCTTTGTTTACAATATTTGAGGACATACTTTAACATCAAAAATGCTTCGATCAGAATTTATAATGAATAAAACTCCAATCAAGCAATGAGTACTCACATTTGATATTTGTAAACAAAATCATTTTAGTCAGTATGTCGGATTGAGAAATAAAGTGTCAGATGCGACGTGACTTATATAGGAACGGGATGTTCACCAACTGAACCAATGCTAACAGTGAGCAATCAAGTTTTGCTTTGCATCAGACTTGCCAAAAGTGAGTTGTTCCTGATTCGAAACCAGCAGATTGTAGGGGACGGGGCCAGTGCACAGCCAATTTTTCCCAACCTTTCTGCACCAGAAATGTGTGTAATGGTTCCAGATTGGCCACTGGATCTGGCACTGGCACTCTGGCAGTGGAAAAAGGCTTTAGTGAATCTGTAGATGTCAGATGTTGAGTCACTTACCTGAAACTTTTGTGGTAAAGTGTCCTCTCCAGTACTCCAGTATAAGTGGTTTACTCTATTACCCTCTTGATCATTTCTAGAAACTGTTTGTACCCTTCTCCTACTACACTGTGGGTTTAAACTTGACACCTGTCATTCCATATCCTATTCGCCGTGGCTTGATGTAGACATGTAATGGGGCAGCAGTGATTCGTCTTATCGGTCACATGTTTGTGCTAACATATGCGTATAGGGATCAGAGCGTTCCAGCTGTCCACTGCCTGACAGCTCACCCTCATGATGAATGAGACGGCAGAGCATGTGTTTACAGGTACATCAGTCTGTGTTTGAAAAGAAAATCAGTCAGTAAAAGCTGGGATGCCCAAACTGACAAGTGCATGCTGTAACACATGTATGCACATCGGACACGTTGCCTCATTAGTTTACGGTGTGGACTGTATGCTTGGTTATTTGAGCGAAGCATGCAAGCTTGGCTTGAGCGGAGCGCCATGTGTGTCATTATGCATTGGTGCCACTATCACTATGCTAGCGTGATGGACTGAGGGCAGCTGTCTTTGATAAACTGGGATTTCAGCACATCAACACTCAGAAGTCTCCTGCTGAAGGGAAGGACTTTTATTGTTAGTGCTGTTGCCTGCAAAGGATGTGTGGGCACATGCTGACATTTGCGTGAAAGAAAATAATGGACACCATTGAGTGCAGCGTTACATGCCGTTGCCTCATGCCAGGGCTGTACTGTCAGCATCCTGTCACACTCAGGGTATATCTTCCAATGTGAACTTCACATGGTGTTCGGCCTTTGGGGTATTCAAGGGAACTTATGTGTTCAGTCTCAAGGGCACTACAAACAGAGATCAATAGGGAAGTTACCCACAAGTCATTGCATATCACCTCAGTACTATACAAAATGTGGCTAAGGTTTGATCCACCTCAGGTATCTATGCAGGTGTTTGTGGATATAGTCTCTTTCAAGCTGCGGATATAGTCTCTTTCAAGGAAAGAGACTATATCCGCAGCTATTTCGGTCAAGCAAGTCTAACTGCAATCTGCCTGAATAGGGAAGTACTGAAACTGCTTGCTAAACTTCAAATCAGTAACAAAATCTGACATGAACTGTCCCGTAAATGTTTTCTTAAAAGCGAATATTTTAAGTTTGGTCCAGCAAATGTGCATGTGCAGTCCTAAGCATGACTAAATATACTTTGTAGATCAATTTAAATATTTAACAATATGAATTTTATGTAAATACATCTTAATTTGATATCCATTCATGTGTGATGACGTTGCAGTGTTTTTAAACGCTGATGATAATTATTCATTTCTTATATGGGCAAATCAATGGAAGAGGCACTTTAATTAATATAGAGGGCTGGACAGAGACAAGGGCATGAGTGAATTAGCAGATAAGCTTTATTGTAAGAGACATTTGTTAGTTGTGATGAGGTCAAGGGGGTCTTTGCATACTTGGATGGGCTATTAAATTAATTGCTTTGCTAATTAAACCAATATCAAAGCACATCTGGCCAGCTCCTGATGCTCATTTTGTATGATCATAATCAAAGCAAAACATACTTCAGGTTCATTGGGTGAGGTGGCTTCATCAAAACAGGCTTGAAATGTCGGTGCTAAAATTGCTTAGGATTAATCTTGGAGGGGTTATAGCAAAATTTTCCCACTTGACTGTTGTCTCTCTGTCAGTGAGGTGACTGAGACAGGGATTGATATTATTCTCCAACAGCTAAGGGTGTCCGTTATTGACCTGCTGTAGGATTTACTGTGTTCATTAATGACTCGGTTATTGATTCCTTTTGTAAATATACAACCGCTCTTGCTTGGAGAGGAACTGTACATTTGATTTCAATCAGTAACTTTTAAGTAATGAATGAGTGGCTTCGCTTTTGCATCAATCAGTCCTTGACACTAGCATGTGTCAGTAGAAGTGAGCTATTTCCTGTGCATTTAAATTGATTAAATATGTTTTTAACTAATGGTCTCGTTTCAATCATTGTCCTACAGTTACACTCCCCGGTGATGACTCCAGAGCTTGAGGACAATGTGTCTCCGGACAGTAAGGTAAGGTCTATCAACATCTCAAAGCCTTGTAAAGACCAACTTGAAGTCTTTGTAGGTTTTACCAACAATTAATAATATTAGCATTTTAAAATGGCCCTGAACCAAGCCTGTGGAGTAAATATGTCTCATTCTGTGTTACATTTCAGTTATCAGACATGCACTCCAAGGTAGTGAAGAATACTGTAAAGGAAACAGAGAATGACTACAGCAGCATCGGAGAGATCAAGGGAATGGTGCCGGAGTCGACTTCCAGTGATCTTTATGCCACAGTTGGGGATGATTACCCAATAGCTCTTGGCTCCCAGCCTCCGGAGGTGCTCACAGAGAATGCAGACCCTGCGTACGATACCATCAAGATCTCCAAAGCGGCTGAAGAGGCTCATCAGGGCAATGGGATCGGGGAACCTGACTATGAGAGCGTGGGGGAACTGGGTCTGAACGGGGACATCTCCCGTCTCTGACCACCCATCTAGGGGACCGTGGACAATGAGAACTCACTTCTCTGAGGTTTAGAAGTGGAATTTGGGGTGGTATCATGAGAATAATGCACTTAACCTTTCCTGATTGAATGTTTTTCAGTGTAGCTTTTATGCACCCCATTTTTTTTTTTAACATTATTAATGAAAGGGTTCATTCAGACCTGTGACCCAGCATAGGAAATGAAACACTCTCGAGTCGCTCAGAAGAGGGTTTGTTATGCTTTTCATGTGAATAATTGGGTACCACAAACCCGAGATGCCCCTATAAAAGCTGTGTTCATTGGCATCATGACATGACATACATGTCTTGCCATGGCCAGTTTTGTCCCCACCACTTTCTGAAATAGCTTGCAATAGGGATGTATACAGAGGTGGCATCTCTAGTTGTTAAGCGAGAGTTTTCAGTGCATTTGTGTGTTGTTATAATAATGTCCCTGAAAGCAAGGATAGCAATGTTCTCTCCAGCACACACGCCTGCTCAGATATAAGTATATGTGCTCTAATCTATCATTTTTCCATGGCTCGTTCCTGTTCTGGTGAAATCACAAAACAAACTGCGAACAATTTTTTTCCCACTCCTGATATCCACTGATGTAAAGCTGTAATTATGGTTAGAGTTCCATTAGGGCGGATTAGAACCCCAAACCCCTCATATAGAAAGAAATCGTTTTTGCTAGACCAAAGATTCAGAATTCATATGTAGGAATATACAGCGAGAATGACTGCTGCATCAAGAACTTAGCAACAATGTGTGACAAATGTATTAGTTTAAATGATTTTAAGACACTTATAATGGTAATGACTTTTCAGATTTGACTCAAAAATATGCTACTACACACTTGATCAGTAAATTACAGACTACTTATTAGAACAGTAAAATATCATATAATTTGCATATCCTAATTAATATTCAGAAGCTAAGCTTTCACTATTTTGTGACATAACAGCACATCTGTGTAACCCCCTTCCCACATGTCCCCAACACTTTTCAAAGCAATGTCACACCAGTGGCTGTTGTCTTATGAGAAATATTTTATTCATTGTGTACTAGTAGTTTCCATGCTTTTGCACAGCGCACCTGCTGTATGTAAGCTGCACTCTGCCTGCCCGATATCACGTGATACTAGTTGAACAACCGACGGGGTTGTGTCCTTATATAACCCCAAAAAGAGAACCAATCAGATACATTCAACAGCAGAACTCTCAGCTCAGTCCATTAAGGAAGTATACTCATTTTAATCATTCAGAACGGCTGGAGCGTTTCGTTTTTACAAGTAGTACGCAAGTGACGTTCACGTGACGCATATCAAAATATAAAAGAAGAACATTTAAATGTAGCCATCATTCTGAGCCGCTTAACATGTTTTATAATTAATGTGTCAACTGACAGGCTCAGGTGAGGAAGTGATCTTTAAGGTACGCAAAGTTAAGCACTCATTTATGAGTGTACTAAAAGGGTATTAATGAAAAGTTGACCATTATCTATTGCTGGTGTTCAGTTGTACACTAATTGCCATTTGTGATGTAATTGAGCTATGTTGCATCAATATGTATGTGTGATTATTTTTTTTATTGACGCAGCTGTATTGATTAAGTGTATCAGATACATTATATATTTCAGATATTGTTTGGTTTTTACATATAATAGGTACGCAACATTTCAAAAGGCTGAAAAGCACAGGGGGAAAGAGACATGGTACTGCCACACTGCAGCTTTGCCTGGCAGCTTAGTAAATGTACTTTATGATCAGGTATGCATTTAGCTGCTTTTACATTCATGTAGCAGTATAATCAAAAAGCATAGCGTGTCCAGACACCGCATGGGACAACTTCATGCCAAGAGACACTTGTAAATATTCAAATGACTATTTTGATCTGTTAAATTATATCAGTTTAAGTATGCTTCTGTAATAATTGGCAACAGCTCTCAAATGAGAGCACGAGGACATTTTTATAGTTTGTTTGTATTGAGGAACTAATGAAACTTTAAGAGTCAGTGGAATACATGCTGTTAGATGCATTTTTAATTCAAGAAAGTTTAAAGACTGTCAAGGTTTATCATTCAAAAGGCTAATAGCAGGAATACGTATTGCTTTGGAATTCTTATTTTAATGTGAGGTTTAAATAAGGACTGGATTGAGTCCCAATGTTGTCCGTGTTTGCTTGTAATGGTACATTGTGTTGGTACAGGTTCCATATTGAGAAGATCCTTGTTATAGTTAATATCATGGTGAAACTTTGTATGTTTTGTTTCTCCCTCTAACCAAATTCTGTGTATTTAGTTGTAAATAAGAATGAATTTTGCATTTGTTTATTTCATCATAATCTTTGTATAGTGGTATTTGCTTCTTAAACAATATAGTCATGCTGGACTAATATAATGTGTGTGCATGTGTTTGTTTATCCACATCAACTGATTTATTTAAACGTTAACATAATTTGTCCTTAATAGTGCTATATTTACATGCAATCTCAGTAAGACAAGGACATTTATATTGCCTTAGAGTGCAAAAACACAGTATAATCTGTTGATATTTAATAGGGATGTCCCGATACCACTTTTTCACTTCCGATACCGATACCGATGCCGCAGCTTTGGCTTTTGCCGATACCGATATTAATCCGATATTTTTATTTTATTCTTAAACTAATAAAAAATATAGCAATTTTCTCAATTAGCCACCTAAAATATACCTCCTATATAGTCCACAACAACAGTTGATTATGAAAGATTGCCACCCTTTATTCAAACACTACAAAAAAATAAAGAAATATATAAATGAAAGAAAATACAGGTACTTCAGTACTTAAAGCTAGCTAGCTACCAACAGGTTTAAAGTTAAAAGAATTTAAACAGCAGCATTCTACATTGTAAATACCAGTACAGTTTTTGTTTTTTAAATCAATTAGAATTTCTATAACTGTGTGTTAAACTGATTATCACTCTTGTGTGTGTTAAACACAATCTACTTAATACAGACAGCTTCATTATAAAGATAAACAACAAATCCCCAAAATATATGATCATAATCTATGACAAAAATGCTATTATAAACTAGATTAGTGGATAATACACATTGCTCTTTTTATTGTTGTAAAATACATTCATGAAAAACAAGATAACAAAAATGAAAAAGATAATTATTTTAGATATAGCTAAATCTGCTATAAAATTGAGACATGTTTTAAGTGTATTGCACAGCTATTTAATGAGGCAGCAACATTAATAATTATTAATGTTAATAAGCTTTAATTGCGTCAATGCATTATGATATGAAAGGCTCCAATACAGTGCGGCACAAAGCGCTTATGCGCATCCCGAGCGGAGAATGATGCGCTTGAAGCCACGTGGAGTTCCAGCACGCAGCGCGTCGAGTCCGCTTTGAAAAGTTCAAAGCACAACGGAGATACATATTGATCGACAGTGTATTATACAGTATCTATCTATGCAATCGTTTATTGAGCCTTTTCTTTTAACAGTTTTAAATTTCAGTTACTGTGCGCGTGAAGAACAATAGTGCTCTGACTCTAGTGTTGTGATCAAACTGACAGCGTCCGACACCCGGTAGAGAGTAACACGATTGAGTTACAGCAATAAAGTCCAGCAAGATAAAGTTGTTTTATGCGAAAACATAGACCTTTATCTTACAGATCAAGTATAATAGTATTAACATTGAATCATCTTGAAGATAGTTTCATCATTGACTGCAACCGAACGCGACGCGCTGTTTGAATGCTGAATGGAGAATGACTGACAGCCGCGAGAGGGAAAAATTTACGTGATCTTGAATTTAATTACTTAAATATTAATTTATATCTCACATAATAGCTTCAGAACACTTATAATAGAGTGCACGAAAACGTTATGGTACTTTAGAATGTTTTTGTGCATTTTGTGGGGCTTAACAATAACACATAATAGTATACCCACAATATCGGATTTGGATCGGCCTCGTCTGATCGATGTCAGATCGATACCCGATCCCGCAAAAATGGCAGTATCGGAGCGATACCGATCCTGAGTATCGGATCGGGACATCCCTAATATTTAATATGTCGATACATCCTACTAAATTCTCAAGTGTAGAAAAACAACCTGCAATAAGGCAGTTTTATTATCATGTCAATGCACTGGTATTAGGGGACTTTAAGAACATATTTCACTGCACAGCCTGCTATTGATTGACTCTGTGGTCAAAGCAACATTCATTTTCAATGCAAGTACTTATAAGGGAGCGGTGGCAAACAAGGGCACTGAATAGATTTTTTATTTTCACTTCATAAGGATAAATTGTTTTTTAAAAGATGAAATCTTTTCAGCCATTCCTTAAGGGGTTATACCTATAGACAGTTTGTTATATACGAATCATGAGAAATGATCAATGCTACCATCAATTCAGAACTCACACTGACAAGCACATACAATAACATGTACATGTTCGTGTTTAACGGGACACAAAGGTAAAAATGTCCAATTAAGGCATTATAATGCACAAAAGACGGTGGATTACTTCTGAAATGTAATCGGTACAAATTGCACAACATTTTTGAATAATGTAAGAATCTTTGAGATGGCATTGTATTACTTCTATTATTTTTACAACAAACAACAACGAGTAGCATATTCCTTAAACTACACCTTTATCAAGAACAGAAAGAGACTTACATATAGTTTCTTACCGCATGTTTTAAATTAAAATCTAAAAATCTTTATTACTGCTAGTTTAAATTTTTTATCATGTGCTGATAATGTAGTTTGAATGCTCTGTAAATCACGTTGAATAAAAATGGCAAGTGCATAAATGGCATAAAAGTGAAATGTAAACATTTGAATAAACTATAGCCTTTTGAACTGCAAATAAAAGGATTGAGGCATAGTGGTATTTTCCATGTGTCTGAAGGAAAGATATGTCATGTTCAGATGAGAACCGAGACAGGTCTCTGTTTATTGTAAGTATAGTGCTAGTATAGTAGGCCTACCTGTTTGGGATATGCAGTTAATTTCAGTGTAAACACCTCGATTCAAGTTTGTGAAGTTTGTGATAGGCCTAGTATTACACTGATATAGACATGTGCCGGTATTCGGTAATGCGATAAATCGCGGTAATGAATATGCACGATATTGTTATCGCGGGGACTTCGAAATACCGTGAAAAATAATAGATCCGAATTTAGATTTTTAGAACGCGCATCAGCTTATTTTCCATCAACCGCTTAAAAAACAATGCGTATATGCTGCGCAAAACACATGTGCACTTTGATGTAAACAATCCCCACATCACATGTATAAGCACTGTGTGCATGCAGTGCGCACTCTAGTCTAATGTAAACAATCCTCACATGGAGAAGAAGCACGGCGGAAGGAGGAACGCTGCCGACTATTTATCCCCCGCATGGCTGCCAACTCTCACGCATTCAGCTTGAGACTCACGCAATAGCTGGGTTTCAGTCACGTGATTATGATGACGCGCGGAATTCAGATGGAGGGCAGGGGAGTGAAGAGCGCAATGGACGAGATGGAGGAAAGTCCGCACTGTACTACTTTACACGCTATTACAAGAGAAAGATGTAAACAAAAAATCAAACATATGTTGGACGTGATCCTTACGTTATGAAGAGGAGCGATTTTCAACTGAATTGAAAGATTTTCCTGCCATCGAGGTGGTAGATATCAGCAACTACCTCGTCTTACAGACATACTTGGACTTTACAAAGTTCGTAAATGTTACACGTTACACAAACATAGCCACTTAAGTTGTATTAACTCACCATTGACGAAGTGATCACTGCACAAACGGGCATTTTCCCATTCGGCTCCTCCCGACCGCAGACGTAGGTTTGCTAGCCGTTTTTCCGGAGTTTTTCGGTCAATTTCTTGCATTTTCCCCCTTTATGAACAACAACTTTTGGTACACGATAAAAACTCCTCGTGGTTTGATCGATTTAAGTAACCATAAACGACGCAAAACATAGGCATTTTGAGTTTGTTATAGTGCTTTCTAAATACAGCAAATCACTTCCTGCCCTCCATTTGCATTTCGCGCCATGGCAACGCAGTGGCGTGACGTCATATGAAAACAAGCTATTGACACTTTCACACGGTCTCGCGCCACACATCCATTTTCTCACCCAGAGAAAAATCGCGGAGCAAAGAGGACACTGACACCGACAGACTAGACAGAGCAGGTTACTTTTGATATGAAAAAAATATCAGCTCTCAGGTTTTATAACGAAATTCAGACAATAAATACTGTTTTGGTGCTTGTAAATGTGACGTGACAGATCGCGCGCCTCAGATCAAGTAAACCGATCATCTGTTACTTTTTATTAAAGATACAGTACAACCCACCGAAAGGTACGTACTTTCGATCAATCAGTGTTTTTCAACCACGGAAAGAGGTCAATAACACTGCAGGAGAACAATTATGTCACAGAACGTTACATTTACCTCAGGAAAGCCATTTAATGTTAGTTGACTATAAGAAAATAGCTATAGAGAGGAGTATTTTGCTAAATATGTGCACTATATTACATATTTTAATATGTACTTGTCATTATATAATTGTTATTATAATGAAAATTACGGCATACTACATTTTTATATTTATATTATTATTATATTTATATTGTATGCATTATATTTAATTTCTCTCTGTATGTTTACAGCATTATGTGAGATATATTTTTTCTTGAGAAACATTTAAATGCAGGCTATCTACTGTAGCCTACCTAATATTTATCCAAATGAGTCAATATTGAATCAAGATTGAAATTAAATCCAAGAATTTAATTGAAATCATGAAAATTGTGTTAAGCAATAATACAAACAGTAGCCTCAGTAACCATGTAAACATTATAACATGTTGTCACTAAAAAATAAAATTAATGTTTTGACAATCACAATTACACATTGTGATGCAAGTTTTTTTTAGATACCCCCAATCCGTCTGTTTCTCTTGTGCAATTAAAATATCGTGATAATACCGTATACCGTGATAAAAGCTCAATCAATTAATCGCAGCATGAAAATTTGATACCGGCACATGCCTACACTGATATTACATTTTAAGGGAGTATCCTGAATTTAGTCTGAATGGTAAAGTGAATATTATAATATTCCCTGTTTCCGAATATCCTCACTTCCTCAAAAAACATTATGTGAAAAGAGTAGTGTGTCATTTATCAAATGTCATTACATTTCATTTTAGGCAGTAGCCTATATTATAGGGGGAGATAGTCCAGCAAGAAATTAACATTATGACATAATTTATCCTTTGCCAAGTGAATGGTGACAGAGGCTGTTATTCTGTCATCTCATTGTGTGTTCAATGGATGAAAAGAATTCATACAGATTAGTAACAACATGAGAATGACTAACTGATGATAAGATCCTCATTTTTGGGTGAGCGATCCCTTTAAGACGTCAAAAATAGAAATATGTCCACAGCGTTTCCTTCCTCAGCATAACAAATCTTTTAAATTCGCATTATCCTCAGAGTCACAGAAGTTTATGTTTTGGTATGTGGCAACTGGCAAGTGTGACTGATTTTGCATAAACAGTCATTCTACTGTACTGACTACTAATGACAGGTCACAACATTGAGGACCCTCAGGAATCCCCACCGCCTGTCAATCATTCTCGCCGGGTCACACACCCTCACATTACACTCATAACCCGGTTTTGACAGGTTATTATCATCACTATTATTAATGTTATGTACACTGACCAACCTACCTAAATAACAACTACTCAGAAGCTCATAGTGAAGACAGGTCACACACAGAAAGATGGACTCTCATCTCTCCATCCTTGCGCCGTTGCTTGTATTTGGAGGGAAACTGCAGAAGAAAGCGAGCGCGAGCGAGTGGAGGCGTGTGTGCCGTGAGCCAATGAGAACGCACACTGGCTGCGCGAGCGCACATGTTTACAGGCGACATTCCGCCGGTACAGCCAGTGGCTCTTGAAAACCCGGATGGCATTTATGGAATGGAGTCTTTCTCACATGATACCGGATTTACGCTAATCTGGGGGGTAAAAACCGGCTGTTACAACAGCACAGTCGACACCGGAGACGTTTATTAATATTATAATATTAATTAGATTTCTGTTCGGCCGCTCTTCGGTGATTTATGACATAATGCTCGTGGTGTGTATTGTGAAAAATACATCGTGTGTGTCGAGTCAAAACGGGTGCTCCGCTCCATGTTTTACCACAACCCGCCAGCTTTAAGGGAACGGCAAGCAAAACAAACAGGTCGACAGAAGAAAGATATCGGTTGCCGGTCGGTTGTTCGGTCGGTCGGACAGAGAGGTTATTTAGCGAAGTCCATTTGCATATTGTAACGGTTCATTGGTTCGGTGTCCTGAACATGCGCGCTCACGCCGGCTGAAAGATGTGGATGCGGTTCATATCTGTGGTGATGATGTTGTCGTATTATTCGCATGTACGGCCCATGATGACGGTCGGTCCGATTATGTTTTGTCAACGTGACATTTCTTTTTTTTAAAGCGGCATTGCTGTGCAACGATCGAAGTACTTATATTTGTGCATTTCATTGATATATCAACTATGCATACGCGGCGGCTGGTGAAGCGCTCGGTCATTGGGAGCCGCGTGTACGCGCCGGGTTTAACGGGAGACGCGGCTCCGCTCACGGGAGTGATCCAGGCTGTCAAACAAGACAACAGAGATGCTTCAACCGGCCATCGGCGTAACGTGTACACGGTGCTCATGCAAGACGGGAGCTTGAAAGAGTACTCGGAGGAAGAGATTGCACAGATGACTGCGAAAGCACCGCTGAAGTCGAGCTTGAAGGTGTGTGTGTGTGTGTGTGTGTGTGTGTGTGTGTGTGTGGTCAGCTGGGCTTGTTGTTGTTGTTGTTGTGCTGTTGTCGCACACAGTATTGTTTACAGTGCATTGAGAGATTGTTTGTTTGATGATCCAAATAATGTGTGAGTGGATATTGCAGTAATCATGCTGAGGACGAAGCTACAGATTGGTCCCTCAAATTAAACATTTAGGGGCCAATTACTTTTTAGCTTACCAAATTCTAGAATTGCAGAAGCGCCGGTGTCCATGCTCACAATCCATTACATGAAACTTTTTTAATATGGACAATTTTGGCCTCATTGTAATGGGAATAGTTGCCAATGACTAAGTAGGCTTCATATTGAAGTAACGTTAGCGTATGAATTGAATATGCCATTTGAGTTCGTATAGTTTACTTTTTAACCTTCACTATGAATGAAACTATGCAAATGTTAGTTATAAAAACATGGCTAAAACGATGCTGTTGTGAGTCAGACTGTATTTGCGCAATATAAATATTTTGTGAGAATATTAAGCACGAATCCATCTTACAAGTGGATCTCATTCGACAATTAACTTTTCATGACAATGAACAATTTCATTAATCTATTACAATAATTAACTCGACTGTGCAAGCATATATTTCGATTTAGGCTACATGTTGTCATATGAACAATCAGCTGAAGTCTAACGTACCTAACGTTAAAGCCCGAGTAGCCGTGATCGGTTTATTTTCAATCGAACATAAACGAAAAAATGACTCGCAAGTTCAGCGAGGGAGTCATTTGTGAACTCAATGGCGGCTCCGGATGGTTTTAATCGAGAGAGCTCAACGCTGTTTTGGGAATACAACGCAACAGATAGATGCAAAATAACGGTGCTGGAAACACTGCATATGTATGCCCAATCACGAGATTAAATCTGACGAAACTCCCTGTGGTAAACAAACACAAAGTTTTGCCGACTGACTTCTAAATGATTGTCGTAAAATAGTGTTGTTTTGTTGCATTTGTGGTCGTTTTACTCGCAGTCTGTAGCCCTGTAGGGCCCGTGTAAGCCGCTGATGATCTGACTTCAGTGGGTGGATAACAGTGGCGAACAAACACAACTCTGCAACATTCATTCATTCACGCGCCAGCAAAAGCATCTGTGCGCGCGCGTAGATCTCTCCGCTGAAACCGGCTCTTAGTGTGTGTGTGTGTGTGTGTGTGTTTTTTAGTGTTTTCGACATTAATTGCTTTTACAGTGATCGCGTTTTTGTAAATATGTCATTTGATATTTAGTTAATGCTTTAGATCATGTTAATTTTATTCACCGAACTCTGTGTGATTGCACACCAGGCTGAGTCGCTTGCACGTGATTGCAAAATACAAAGGTTTTTTTTTATAATGACCTAATTGCAGTCATCAAGTTAAACAGCCTGAGGTGCCATATCAAAACAAAGAGGGTCAAAATGACAAGAATGGCACCAGTTCTTCTATTTCATTCTCTTATAATCAGAGCTGTAAGACTGTAAGGTTAATAACATCGGGGAAATAATTGAAGTAAATTAAAATAAATGCAATAACTGCAATGTGCATGCAATATTTGCAATCAAATTTTATTTTGGATGCTGCTGGATGTAATGGTTTGCATGTGTTTGTTTGTGGCACCTTAATGTTTGTGTAACGTAGCCTACATCTACACTCCCAAACAGACATTCATTTAATTTGCAATCAGAGAAAATAAAGTGGCACTTTTCAAATGTAACACAAGCAACTATTATATACAAGACACGGTGACATTTTCTCTGGTGACGCATGATGGGGGAAAAGGTTAAGATGTAAGCGATGCAAGCAGGGAGGGATGTGAAACTAGGGTGGGGGCTAATGGTCCCAGAGCAGCTGCTCCGTAACGGTGCAAAACGGAGCTCTACAGAGGTCATGCTCATAGAATCTGGGGCTTTGGCAAGGCGCCTGGATTCCCAAACGAGAGCCATTCGGCTTGGGGCTTGGGGGAATGCCACTTGTTGACTGGTATAGTAAGACAAAAGGAGGGGCTTCACGTTAAGTGTGTTACAGTGTGGTATTTCCAGACAAAGGCGGAACTGGATTGTTTTTGTTCCCTTGTTGTTTCCACTGCTTAATATCAAAATGTAATTAACCCACACAGGCTGTCTACCAGTCTTAACTCTTTATGCACCAAGGCTTTGTTGCTGGTTTACACTTCACTCACATTAAAAGGGTTGAGGTTTTGTCATGATGGAACCTTGTTACAGGGGCAGAAAGCAGTAGATGTTTGTTATGGGTTTATAAAGAGTGGCATAGTTCCTTTTGGCAGTAGATATTTCAAACCTTGAGTGCAGCATCTCGCACGTGAACGTGCATAGTGCGTGTGTTTATTTTCCTCATGAATATTCAAATATAAATAAATAAATAATTTGTAGATAATTAATTTCGAGTGCTCATCTGTGTGCATCCTGCTCTCAGATCTAATTAATTCTCTTATTAGATCAGCCGAGATCTGTTTAAATTGATTAAAATCCTCTAACTCTTTAGCAAAAACAAGAACTTATTTGAATAGTTTGACTGGCATATGAATTGTGACCCATATTTGATCATTTTGGAGGCTGTGCTCCACATGATGTGAGAAAGCTGTGGCCATTAAAATGCACAAAGCAAGGGTGTGTGGTTTGAGAGAGAAAGACAGAACTTAATAGTGTGTGAAATTTAAATTTGAACTTGTCAACTGTGCATTTTTGATTTGACGCTTGAAAGTCTTGCACAACATGATGCCGCTTTAACAAATCTGTTCATCTCGTGAAAATACGCCAAAGCCTGGCATTCATCTTCTACATGGAATAGCATTATGTTGTGTGTGTTTACTCCATCAGGGATGTGTTGTGGTATCGACCCTTCATTTTTTGTTTTTTTGTGTTTTGTAACTGAATTTTTTATAAATCATGTAACAAAATTCTATTTTTTATAGTCTCCCATTGATGTCTATAGGCGAATTTTTTTTTTTTTTTTGGTGTGTGTGTGTGTCTGTGTGTGTGTGAGCAGAGCGTTTCACATTGTGGATGTGCAATAAGGTTGCCAGCTCACTTCAATGTATTTGTGTTAGAGTTGTTCCGATTCCGATACATCGGAAATGCCGCCGATACCAATAAAAATTCTGGCATCGTATCGGCGATCCGATACCCTTTTCTTAAACAATAGTGGTGACATGTATCATATGCCATACTGCAATTTCGAGGGGTGGCACAAGATTAGCAGCTTCAACACTTAATAAAGCATTTGAAGACGCGTAACACGAGCAAGGGCAGAGAAGGATGAGCCGCGCCAGAATCAACAATCTCTGGAAGCTTCATTCAAACGAAGAGAAAAGTTTTCAAAAGACAGCCAACGGGCGATAAATATAACCCACAAAATTATCGAGCTTATTGTTCTGGATGACCAGCCGCTGTCAAAACTGAAATGCCGTGTATTTAACAAAATTGTTTCTGGACTTTAAGTTATAAAGAGGTTATTTTCTTATATTATTCATATATCATTTTTTAGATTCCTAGATTTATTTGTTGCACTTTTTTATACAGTTATATTGTAAATCTAAAATACCTTTTTCAGTTTAACATATTAGATGTGTGGCTGCATTTTAAGTTCTTTTTCACTTAAGAAGAATAAATGATATATTGCTGGGAAATGTATGTCAGATAATAAAAATACTCTAGTTCACTGTATGTATTTATTAAGGGATGTGTCTGAAGCACACCATAAAATAATTCTATCAATTCATACAGGGCTAGTATCCAGGAGTCCAGGTATCGGGAAGGGAAAAAGGGTATCGGAACATCTCTAATTTGTGTTCTGTGTTTTGGCTGGTTTAATTTTTTATATTTGACAAATATTTTTTTTTAATAAAAAAAGTATCACATTCATCCTATTTAAAAAATATATTTTAAAATTTGTTCATTTAAAAAAAAAAAATGCCTTAAATCCCCCCAACACTGCACAAATGTAAAAACATTAATACAGTGAGTGACATTTTGTTTAAAAAAATTTACATTATTTTGTTACAAAATCACATTGTATTGTCTGGGGTCTCGGTAGACCCTGAACATCCTGAGAGGGACTTTTTTTTTCAGCTAATGTACAACCAGATATCATTCAAATTTATTTTATTGTTTGTAGAGCTAGCAAGTGTCACAACATCAAGTCTCATGCCATTTAGATGAAGGGAGTCTTTTTTTTATATTTCAGCAAACATCATTTGGGGTCAATAAGACCTCGAATAGCGCATAAGGGCTAGAATTATGGCTAATAGAGATAAGCTGATAATTATTTTCATGCTATAGCTGATAATAGAATTGCAATATCTACCATTTATCAATAATCTAATTTGTCTAAAATAAAAGAAAACACAAAAATACATTTTTAAATGAATTTAAAAATGAATTTACACATCACAGCATTACAGCATTTAATTTGAACTAGTGTATTTAACATTGCTATTCAATTATTAGCATTTTTAAAGATTAAGTGAGCATTAGATAACAGCACAATGTAAAACTAATATTCACAATTACCTAGCTAATTTTATATTCAATACTATCCAGTAAATAAATAATAAAATCTTGTTGTGCATCCCAAGTTTTTCTCCCAAAGCTATTAAATGAAGATTTGGAATATTGTAACATATAGTTCATGTTTGTGAACATTTTATGGTGTATCTGTATTCTTTTTTGAAGCTTAAAAGCTCCAGTCCTAATTCACTGTTTTTGAATAGAGCAGCCAGCACATTCTTCAAAGTTTCTCCCTTTGTGTTCTACGAAACAAACCCATTTAGCTTTGGAACGACATGAGCGTGAATAAATGATGATAAATGAATAAATGAAAACAAACTGTTATTAATTCAATAGAGTTTATTAAGATAACCACACTTCACTAGTGATGAAATGGGTATTGAGGCAGGTAATCCATTTTATTTTTAACTCCATTGTAGTATGTAAACTCCCAGATGCTCAAAGCTCAGCACGATAGGCGTTTACCCTCTCTTCAGTCAAACTAATCATGTTCCGGTAAGATACTGATCTGTATTGCACGCCGCTCACTGTTAGATCATGCTCTCCGCTGGTGCATGCGGTGATGTGCGTTGTCTTGGCCCCTGTTTGTCCTCTCTGTAGCTTGAGGTTTAGTGTACCACAGCTTTAGTCACAATAAATAGAAAAGTCTACGGCAGGTGTGCAGATGAGACGTGCAAGAGGAAAAGCTGCTCGTCTTTGCATTAGTGTGGTCACGGATGGTGGCTTGTTGTGCTAAGGGGGAAATGGCAGAGTGAGGGAGGTTTATTTTTCTTTTTTTCAGCAGCGCAAAGATCTTCTAAAACAAACAAGCCTGCAGATCAGTGAATATGATTTCTTGATCCAAAACATTGGTGAGGTGTTTGTATGGACCGATGTATAAATTACAAGCAGTTTAAATACAGCCTAATGCACTGTGATTGCAAGCAAACAAGCCTCAGTTGGGGTCAAACAGTTGGGGTCTATAGCTTTAACGGCCCCCGTAGGTGTAAATAGAGCTTCATTGACTGGAGGCACATGGAGAGACTGTTAAGACTGAAAAAACTTGAATATGTTTCCCTCTGCAGAGCACCTGTAACGGTGGCCAGCGGGACTGGCCCACGCAGGGCCAGAATGGAGGTGTGCCGAGAGGAGAGGCGCCCTCCCTCAGCCCGGAGAGCATAGAGGAGCCACGGGTGCTGGAGCACAAGCGAACGGGCCGGGCGCTGGAGCCGGAGAAGGATAACACCCGCTCCATTTCTCTGCTGGAACAGAAACGCAAGGTGGTCTCTTCCAGCATCGACGTACCACAAGCCAGGTAAGGCTACAGGATGAGCACCCCCTACAGGCACTGATGAGAGCTGAAGGAATTATGAATGGCATTGTTTAGTAAATTGTTTGCTTTCGCGCACTGAATAACAAGAGCTGGGGCCTCTTTTTTAAACGTGGGGTACGGGGCTGGAAACGTGCGTACGCCACTTCCCAAGCAAAGGTTGCGATCTATTAAAAACAAATTTGACGGGAGAATGTGCGCACCTGTAAGTAAACTCTGAGCCATGAGTAAACTTCTTCATTATTGAGAAGTTACAAAAATGTTATATTCTAATAAATAGAAATATTTGTAGTGGATTGCCTGTGGCATGCTGTGTTTTAATGTTTCAGCGAGGATTGCTTAGCGCATGATAATAGCAGAACTCATGGTCTGAGAAAATATTTTTGTGCAAATAATGATCAATAATGCACAATAAGGCCTATCTGTTTCCATAAAAAATATATAAAGCAATTAAAACTACCATTTGGCCATTGGAAAAGATTGAGAAAAACTTTCTCTGAAATGTATTTGATTTATTTATTCAAAAACAAGGCAAGGATAGGCTACTAAATGATTTTTAGCAATGTAATGTGACGGGAAATCTTCAACTCATATTTTCCTAATGTTTTGTACCGTTAAACATGGTATCACGTGGATGAATATGCATATGCAAATGATTTGCACTGATATGCATAGTAAAACTGGTTTGGGGAGGAGACGGGTGAAGATGCATGTACACAATCTTCCGCTGACTGGGTTTTATAAAGGGAATGTTGCGCAGGTTCTGGTGTACCCATGGTTTTGCAAGTCTGAATATTTTTTGGCGGACGCCATTTTTGGCTTTCGGACACTTTTAGTAAGTAAGTAATTTAATAAATGAGACCCCTGGACTGAAGTGCTGGTGAGATGTTGGCTTCAGGTTATTTATGTTATTTAAGTGGCGTCAGTCTCCATAGAAACTAACATCAGAATCCCAAAGGACAAAGTTCTATAAATGGTTTGATCTTATCTTTTATAATTATAGATATTTTCTTTCAGTAAAAGTGATGTTTACACCATATATTTAATTTCATTTTGAGAAGTTATTGATTCCAAGAACTTGAAGTATTTCCCTCTTATATTATATAGCATGGTAACACCATGGTATTCTTTGCAGTACTGGAAAATACTCTAGTAAATGCACTACCTTTCAGTAAGATTTGAAAGTTTTTTTTTTAAAGAAGTGTCTTTAACCAATGGTGCATTTATTTGTTCAAAAATACAGTGCAAACCGGAATATTACAATAGTACAAAAGTTTAATATTTTAATATATTTTCAAATGTAATGTATTCCTGTGATGGAATCCAAAGCTGAATTGTCAGGATCATTACTCCAGTCTTCAGTGTCACATGATCCTTCAGAAATCATTCTAATATTCTTATTTGCTGCTCAATAAACATTTCTGATTATCAGCAGAGGCGGACAGAGTACACAGCTTTATTACTTGAGTAAAAGTACAGATACCCCTTGCTAAATTTTACTCAAATACAAGTAAAAGTACTACAGTCAGATGTCTACTTAAGTAAAAGTACTGAAGTACAAGAGTACATTTTCTAAATATTGCATTACTACTGCCACAGTGCTTACATTTATGTACAGAAATGTCTTACATAGAGTTATGAAAAATGTTAATAGTAATACCTTGGAGAATGCAAAAGGAATTGAAAGTAAAATCAAGTCATTTTCATCCTTTTACCATGTTGCTTTATTTAACATTTAAGAAAATTTCAGAAAATTCTGAAAATTGAAATAGTCTGGGGAGGTGGGGCCACGGGTTGGCACATTCACGGGATGGACCTGCTGCGTCTTCATCCATTGTTTCGTCCATGGTTTCGTCTCTTATCTAAATCTGACCATGGAGTTGACTTTGGTGGAAAGCTGAAGGTGATTGCTGATAGGCTGTCGCAATCAGTGGCGCCTGGACAATCCAATCACGTTTGAGAAGGAAACAACAAATTGAGGGTTTCCGAGATTTTTCTTTGTTCCATTTTTTTTTTTTTTTTTAGAAGAAGTAACGGGTACTCACGGTTATGGATAGAAATGTAGTGGAGTAAAGAGTACAATATTTGCCTCTCAAATGTACTTGAGTAAAGTCATGAGTACTCCCCAAAAATGATACTCGAGTAAAGTACAGATCCCTCAAAAATGTACTCAAGTACTGTACTCAAGTAAATGTACTCCGTTACTGTCCGGCTCTGATTATCAGCGTTTTTCTTTTGTGTGGAAACGGTGATACATTTTTTTCTCAAGATTTTGTCATGAATAGAAAGTTATAAAGTACAACATTTATTTTAAACATAACTGTTGTAACATTATAAATGTCTTTACTTTCACTTTTGCTCAATTTAATGTGACCTTGCTCAATAAAAGTATTAATTTCTCAAACAAAATGAAAATGACTGACTCCACTGATTGCTATTACTGTTGGATGGTACCTTCACAGTATATGTCTTTGTCCTTTAAAGGAGTCATATCGAAAGAGCCTTTTTGGAGCTTGATTAAATAAATGCTTTATTTATAATGAGGAGGACATTTCAAGCTGAAACTTGCAGGATGTTTTAATGGTACAAAAACCTCTTATATGTCAAAAGATCAAGGCAAATTAGTTTTATCATGTCATGACCCCTTTAATTTTATGATTTACTGTTATATATACACTAAATAAAGTGAAGCGTGTATGATAGTTATATTTATTTAGCACTCTAAGTGAAGTGCAGACCACCGGTATATTGATACAAGCTTGTTTGTGGTTTGTGAATCTTGTGGTCTGAATGCTTTACATTTGTACTTTCTTTTCTGACACCTCTAGCATGCAGCAAGTTGTAGAACTACAAAAACACAGTTAACGGCTCTTTCCTTTTATTTGTCACATGCAATTTGTAACATAACTGACACGCACTGTTTTTAGTGTGACTTTTTAAATATCAAAAATCAATTGACTTACAGCTTTGTGTGAAGCACAACATAAAACATCTGCCGTCTGATAGCTCTATTACTACACTCAGACCTGATATTGACTTATTTGTTGACGAACTATTGATCTTCTAGATCAATTTACATTCTATTCATCCATTCAGAAAAAAAAGGTCTCATTGAGCACTGAATTTATTTTATGGCAGACAAAAATGTTTGTTATTTCTATCTGCGTTAATTGGCTTTATCCACAGCTGCACTACTTCCTGAACTTCAGCCAGCTCTTTTGTTTCCTGTCTGCCATTATTGGACAAACTGATTAATCTAGGTGTGCCTGGTCTCGGTAACAATAATCAGGCACACCTGGATTAATCAGTTTGTCCAATAATGGCAGACAGGAAACAAAGGAGCTGGCTGAAGTTCAGGAAGTAGTGCAGCTGTGCATAAAGCCCATTGGCCTTGCATGTTTGATTCGCTATAGGTTGACTACTGATATCTCCGGGTGTTATATTGATTGCCTGAGTGGTGCTCAATTTATGAAGCTCATTATTTTTAATGCTTATAGAAAACTGCGATTACTCCTCCATGTACAACATGGTGATGTAGTTTGTTTTGCTACGTCTCCATCCTGACAGATATTCAGTTGTGCTGTGGTCATATACAAATAGTTTTTTGAACAGATTATGTATAAAACATGAGATATTTACTATAATATATTAGAAGTTAAAAATGGCTATAATTTCAATAACAGTATCCATAATAATGACATTTTCCCAGTTATCTGTAATAGCTGGGTTTCAGTCACGTGATTATGATGACGCGCGAAATTCAGATGGAGGGCAGGGAGTGAAGAGCGCAATGGACGAGATGGAGGAAAGTCCGTACTGTACTACTTTACACGCTATTACAAGAGAAAGATATAAACAAAAAATCAAACATATGTTGGACGTGATCCTTGCGTTATGAAGAGGAGCGATTTTTCAACTGAATTGAAAGATTTTCCTGACATCGAGGCGGTAGATATCAGCAACTACATTGTCTTACAGACATACTTTGACTTTACAAAGTTCGGAAACGTTACACGTTACACAAACATAGCCACTTAAGTTGTATTAACTCACCTTTGACGAAGTGATCACTGCACACACGGGCATTTTCCCATCCGGCTCCTCCCGACCGCAGACGTAAGTTTGCAAGCCGTTTTCACGGAGTTTTTCAGTCAATTTCTTTAATTTCCCCCCCTTATGAACAACAACTTTTGGTACACGATAAAAACTCCTCGTGGTTTGATCGATTTAAGTAACCATAAACGATGCAAAACATAGGCATTTTGAGTTTGTTATAGTGCTTTCTAAATACAGCAAATCACTTCCTGCCCTCCATTTGCATTTCGCGCCATGGCAACGCAGTGGCGTGACGTCATATGAAAACAAGCTATTATTATATCGGCGTTGAATATAGATTACTGTTAAAAAGCTTTGGGTCATAAGCTCCCCCCCCCCCCCCCCCCCCCCCCCTTTAAAAAAAAGAAAAGAAATTAACACTTTTATTACATTTCTATTTCAAACAAATGCTGTTCTTTTGAACTTTCTATGCGTCAAAGAATCCTGAAAAAATCGCGGTTTTCACAAAAAATATTAGGCAAGGCAGCACAACTGTTTTGAACATATATGATAATATGATAATAATAAGAAGAAATGTTTCTTGAGTAGCAAATCAGCATGTTAGAATGATTTCTGAAGGACCATGTAACACTATATGTAACACAATATTAATGTTTTAACCTGTATTTATTTTTATCAAATAAATGCAGCCTTGGTGAGCAGAGACTTCTTTTAAAAATATTAAAGAATCTTATTGAAACTTCTGAATGACAGTGTATCATGTACTGAACAATTCATCATCACCATATCCTGGCTAAAATCGAACCAATTTTTAGATTTGCGTGCTTGAATTGACTCAGTCTCAGTGCGTGTAACCATGTTTGCTCATATATTTTCTTTTCTGTGTTTCTTTTGGACAACACAAACCTCAAAGCATGTGTATGTTAAGC